CTTGTTGATTTGCCGGCCACGATGTGACACCATAAAATGTTCAAAATGCTGGTGGTTTAGGAGTTGCAAAACACAATATTTTTGCAATGATAAACATTTATCGACATCAATCATCTAACGCGTCATTTTCCTGTCCAAAGTTGGGTAATTTGTGTTAATTTAACTGATCATTTGCTGCAGCTGTGATAAATAAACAGACGCCTACATCCGTAAAGTAAGAGATTGTAGTAAATAAAAGATGACACAGGGGCACACACACTAGGAACACATCACTTAAAAATGATCAATATGATATTATTGAATTTGTCGTGGCCTCCAAGGTTTGGTTTTTGTTTCATAAATTACTATCAGGTCTATTCATTATATTTTAAAGTAGACGCTGCCATGTTTTTACACGATTGTGTGTACTTCCATCCCATCTTGCTGCCTGTTAAAATAACAATATGCAACGTCAGAGCACGTGCGCGCATAAGCTTAAGGAATATACGTAGAAGTGACCTGCCTTGACCATTATGTTGGAACTGAGTCTAATTAAAGACGTTTTGCGAACGTATCGGATGGTAGGCCTGCAACAGAAAACAAAATCATGAAAAACTACCGGACTACACAAAAAAAAAATGTCTTAATAACAAACAGTGCCTACACTTTGATTAAATGATTCCGCAAATCTACCTGTGGTAACCTTAGCAACCTTGTAACTTAGCAACTTTTTGACGTCTTCAGTGTCCACGCACAAGCTTGTGGTTACTAAAATAACATACACACATAATAACCGCGATCATGTTATCACTGTTTCCTATCGAAAAATATTAGGGAAATCACCCATGGGGCGTTATGACGTCATCAGTACATCAATTATGTTTTCGTCATGGTGCTTCCTGTAACGCGAGTGGATGGAAGCGTTTAATAAACTTTCTCGAGTCTACGTTACAGTTCCAAAACAGCTTACTTCCGCAGAACAGTGTCAACGAATTTGAAAGATAGACTATAGCATAAGCCTAACTGCACCACGTGCCCAATGTCGTATTGAGCGTGCATTAAAGAATAAAGTTGAAAATAATAATAAATGAAAAGATGTATTAAAATAATGTTGGGAAGACAGTCAATTTAATTATTAAATGGAAAGCATTTGTTGTTAACGTCAAAACTCGCTCATCCATCCACGATACATGTGGTGTGTATGCCGATGTCATGTATGGTGACAGACTGACTTAATCGTCGTAATATTTAATCGACTTACTGAGGTATTACTGATTCATCGAAACTTTTTTTCGCCACTTCTTGAATTTACCTGCAATCCTTCAATCAATCCATCAATAAATGTAATTAATCAATCAATCAACCAACGTTGGAATGGAACTTGGCGCATTGAACACTGTTTTACAGAAAGACCTACGAATACCATCGCCACCACTTTTTGGTGAATTTCAATTTATTTCCAATTTCAAATACAATTAAACAAGCCACAGTTTCATACCAATATTGTATACAAAGACAAAGAAATGGAAAAATGCTGGCAAAATAAAACAATATACTTTTTTTTTTATAAGAACCAGTAACGTTTTTCCCAGGCTTATGTTCTTATTTTTTAGCCGATTTTCAGACTCAAAATGTTCTTATTTTGTGCATATTTTTACACACTTTTCAAACAAGAAAATAATTATTTTACAGTCAGTATATTACTTTACTTACGAACTGTATTATAGAGGCTGTTATTACATAGTAACACCTACTGCAAATAAGGTACAAATAGATTTGTTGGTTTTCTATTTAAAAGCAAAATACAAACCTCATTCGACATTTTACCTCAGCCTCGATTTGTTCTTATTTTGTTCTTAATTTTTAGGAGATTTCAGCCTCAGTGTTCTTATAAATTTATAGAAACAAAAGTGTATAACATTAATCGCACTAGAGCTACGGTAGTATACTTATTGCTAGTAATATATGTGAATGGCTTAGTGTCTGAAAGAAAGTCGTGTATGCACCTGTATTTTGTGTTCTCTTTGTCTTCACATTTCGGCATATTAAATAGGCCTAGTAATAGGTTGATTTAAATAGGCCTATGTCTAGCGCAAATTCACGAGGTGAAGCGCTGGAAAACAAAATTACCCCCACCCTCCAAAAAAAAAAAACAATAAACAATCAAAAGTGCCACAAATCGAGGAGTACTGTAGACCTAAGATGCAGTAGGAGCAGGCCTTGTCTAGTTCTACAACGTTTCTCTGATCAGCCATATTATAGGATAAAATAGGCATATTTCATCAAAACAACAGGAATCAAATCAAAATGTTACCGGTGATGTAAATTAATAAAGGCCTATACTTCATATGAAACAAAAGCATACATGGATCTTTGACTTTGTTATTGTAGAATGGGACCTAATCTATCACTCTACTATAGAAGTCTTTATGAATTTCAGACCTATATCCTGGCCTATATTTTGTATTTTTAATTAACAAATTAACGGCATCCTTAATTTCCCTTACTCATTATAAATGTAATGTAAAGTCGGTTAAAAGGTCCGTAGGTCAATTAACATAAACAGACGCTCAGGCTGGCATAATTATGCATTCATGATTTAAGGAAAGTAAGAACATGTGCAATACGACTAGAATATTTCAATGATTTATTTTTAGGAATGAACTCTTGAATTTACCGGAAAACGCAAGTTCAGTAGGACTATTTTAAAACAATTTCAAAGGCCGACGAATCGCACACTGAGGATGGAGTCAAGACATTAATTAGTGACGTTATGTACGATATTCCAAGTTGTTAAATTTTCAGAAAAGCGGTAGTCCTACTGCTGACGTGGGCGATCCCGCATTTCATTTTTATACACATTTGAAAATAAACATACTGTACTCGGGTGATAGACCTGTGAATGGAACGTGACACAGCAAGTAGATCAGATCGTTACTCTGACGTTACAAACTTAACTTCAGAGAGCAAGTAGGCCTACAGTTCGATTTAAAGGGGTTCCCCGACCTTGGACTCTGCTTAGGTCATGCCTTGTCAAGGCTGTTGGTTTAACTGTACAGTATGATCAAAAAATTGCTCAAACATTCCTAGATATATTAGCCTGGAAGTCAAACATTTGTTTACTAATTATGATAAGAAGCATGGATTTTAAACAATAGTATTCTAGTATCGTTTATCATTATCAATCAATGAACACTCTTCCTCTAATAAATTAGGGTAAACATGTGACCAAAAGCTGATATAAGCAGTAACGTTAGAGAATACACG